CCACCCCACCCGCCTTTTTTTCGCTTGTTATGCAATTAAGCTTTTCAGGTAATTTGTCCAAAAAAGTCTAACCCCCTCTCCACTATCAAAATCGATGCTTTACCGATATTGTATGTGTCTGTATATTATAATTTTAAATTGTTTTAACTCCTTTATATGCATTTTACCTATGCAAAGCAAACTCGATAAAAAACATAATATATTAAGCTTAAATTCACATAACTAAAACGACTACAATTTACATACAATTTTCTACATTTTCATGGATATTTATGAAATCACTTCACATTGTTCAAAATTAAAGATTGCATGTTCTACTTTGTCAAATACATAGTTATATAAAAAAAAATCAATGATCATATTTGATCGTTTCAATATAAAACTTAAAGTTGCGCAATTATTTGCCTTATTTTTATTTTTTACGGTTTATTTCCAAACAGTTTTCTGTCAAATTCCATAACCCAGATGATCGCAACAATGCTTCAAAATATCTGTATGAATTGCTAGTAATCCTTAATCAATAGGTATTATTGATGTGTCAAATAACTAATAAATCGATAAGCATACAGGTGTCTTGCATTCCTTCACCAGCAAGGAGGGTTCTCTCTATATGAAAAGGTCACGCATCCACATCCTTAATTATTACAGACGTACTCACAGTGGGTGGTGGAGGAGAGGAGTTTGATTTGTTGTTAACTGTCTTGTATCACATCACATGCCGTTTTTATTAATTTTTATGATGACTTTTCCCAGTAGGCACGCAACGTTGCTTCAACGTTGAAAGGAGGTGGAATATAGGTTGCAACGTTGATCAACTATAATTCAACGTTGAAACAACGTTGAGGTTTCAACGTTGAATCCTCAACCTTTTTGCAACGTTAAAACAACGTTGAAGCTGCAACATATTTTCAACGCTGAATGGTCGTCGATATTTCAACGTTGAAACAACGTTGAAGCTGCAACATATTTTCAACGTTGAATGTTCGTCGATATTTCAGCGTTGAAACAACGTTGAAGCTGCAGCATATTCTCAACGTTTGATGTTCGTTTGATATTTCAACGTTGAAGCAACGTTGAAGCTGCAGCATATTTTCAACGTTTGATATTTTCAACGTTTGATTGTTGATATTTCAACGTTGAAACAACGTTGAAGCTGCAACATATTTTCAACGTTTAGTATTTTCTAATATTGTAAATTGAAAAAAGGTTTAAAAATACAAAGTTGACTGGTTGTTGATTTCAACGTTGAAACAACGTGGAAAATGCAACATATTTTCAACTTTAGTAAAGTTAGGAAAATTTCACATTGAAACAACAGGTAATAAGTATTCAATTCAGCACTTTAGTTTTTCAGGTCAAAATATTAAGGTGTCTGTAACTCATTATCTATGCGATTTTTCGCAATATACACACACCTGTATGCATTGTTAGAAAATATTATATATTAAATTTATATGCATAATAAATGAAACGCATGCATTATCAATTGATTTACTCAAAAGAGTTGTGTTAACAGCTAGCACCATTATAAAATTTTTAATATGAGTTTATATGAAGTATGGCATCTATATTTAACACTTCATTACAATTATGTTTCAAAAAAGGGTTTATTTTAATTAATTGTGAATACATTTTTTATTATTTTTTTTACATATTTAAAAAACTTGTTAATTATAAGCTTTTAATAAATAATGACATCTTTATCCAACATCTCACTGTAATTCAATGTTACTATAGAATTAATAAGAATAATTATTTATTCTGAATTAATGTTCTTAAAATTAGACTCATATAGATCCGTACCATATACATGTATTCTTGCGCAGATTGTTATACAGAGCGAATCTAAGAAGTCTTATTTTATTAGATTGTGCTTTTGTTGTGTGTATTAAATCTATAATCTTTTTTTCACAAAATATAAAAAATATAAAAATAAACACATAACAATTTTCGCACTGACAAATAACCCCGGTCAAGTAACATTACTTAAGATCCACTCCCAAAAAACCTTCGAGAAATCAGATAAGGAGTGCCTCTCGATTAGTTGGTCAGTGTCAGGGTCAGGATAACCTTGTTATGCAATTTTTTTGCTGGGCAGAGTATAGCCATTTGCAGCTTATCTAGGTCAAAATTTGAATTCAACTAATGGACAAGAAGTGCGCGTCTCCTTGCTGTTCATATTTAATGTGTTTTCAAGCTATATACACAAGAATTAAGGCTGGAATATCAACTTCTGCTCAGTAAGTATTATTTCCTTTTCATGGATTTAAGAAATTAAGTTTTCTAGTATCTGTACATCAAATAAATTCTTGTTTTCTAAGTATATTTGAAATATGAGTAAAATGCATATCATTGGCTCGTGTATTATATGTAGTTTATTGATATTCATTTGGTTATTAAATAAAAGTTGACAAATATATTATACAATTTAATTAATTGTAGTTCGTGGTAAGGTTCAATCAACCAGTGGTGGAATTGATCCCGAATTGATTGTATAGTCAGCCTTGATTGCATCAGATTCTTCGCCCGTGAAATTATACAAAGGAATGCAACATTTTGTAAGTACACTATGTCTATGTATATCTGTAACACTTTTCTTTAGTAATAATTATTTATAAGCATACTAATACGAATTTGAGATGAAGTCAACTGTAATTCTTTTAATCATGTTAATTAAATCCAAGTACCAGAATATATTCCTTTGTCTTATTCTTTCAAATCATTCAAGTATATTTATTTTTATCGTTTGAAATAACGTGTAATGTACATTGTATCGAATAAATGACTTTAACATCTTTATTTCTTTTATTAATAGGCTTTTGCTTTAGTGGATAGATTCTACTGTTCATTTCATTCATTCGTGGGACTTCACTATATGCATGATTAAAATCAATGGATCCGCCACTTTATGGAACTTAGTAGTGTAGGACAGACGCTAACTTTGAAGAACCTGGATGTGATAACCTTGACCCCCTTTGCACTAGGAATATAAATTTTGTCAAGCAGTGATTTTTGAGATTAAGTGATTAAATCCGAATTTGTGTTTGTCTTTAAAATACAGACTAAAATAAATTCTCTCACAATCGTAATACTGAATTATAGCATATATAAATATTACGCAACTTGAATAAATTTTTTTTATTAGAATTTGAAATCTAGCCTATTTGTTTATGAAGCAAAATGTAATATGAATTCAACGTGATTTCAACCAAACATCAACGTTTGTACAACCAAAAAATTTCAACCAAATCTCAACCTAATTACAACCAATGTTCACTTTTGTTCAATGTTGATATTTGACGTTGAAACAACGTTGAAGCTTCAACGTTGCATCAACTTTCATTTGCAACCAAAAATCAAACATAAATCAACCAAAAATTCAACCCATTTTCAACGTTTATTCAACGTTGAAAATTGACGTTGAAACAACGTCATATCTCAACGTTGCCTCAACTTTCATATGCAACCAAAATTCAACGTTGATTCAACGTTGAATCAACGTTGAATTGCCTGCTGGGTTACTATATCAATATTTTACACTTTCAAAAGAAATTGCTATATAGACAATGATAGAGGAATGACACAATTTAAAAATCTAACAATTAAACACACAACTGGTAATATGCATCCCTTTTACGTTATTTATTCATGTGTAGAATGTTTTTAATCGGGGGGTGTTCATATTCCATACTTAAGATTGTATGTAAATTTATACATGTATAAAACACGTTGTACATATTCTTGAAAGTCTAGCAAAAGACTGAATTAATCCTTTTTAAAAAGATTAATAAAATAGATATTACTAACATGTTACTAATCCTTTCGGATAAATTTAAAAGTATATGTTTCAAGCATCCAATCCACCCTGAGCTGTTCTCTAATGAATATTAATGAAATGTGCGCAATGAGGATGCGTCGTATATTATGTCGATGTTGTATTCTCACTCGTGCAGTTTTCGTTTTTACGTTTGTGTAATTTTCTCACTATATCGTGTAAATATTTTGTTGATTGTGTAGTTTTCTGTAGTTTGTGTAAATTTCAATAACTTTGTGTATACTTTCCTCACTTTGTGTAAGTTTTTACTTACTCGTGTAATTTTTGTTTAAGGTCAGACGACACGTTCCTCTAATATATGCTTTGTATATCTTGGTTTCATATAAAAAATCATTCATATTTGTCATTTTCTTCTGATTTCTACACTGTTTTCAAAATGTTTTTATATATAGAAACACCAAAAATTGTGTTATAGGCCATTTAGAAGATCACCCATAAGGGTTATATTAGAAATATGACCCTATGGTATCTTGGCCAAATGCCTGGTAAGGTACCCTCATTTTTTGCGAGGAAACTTGTTTAAGTACTACATGTAATACTTCAATGACAAATTCTTAGGAAAAATTATATATTTTTGAGGAACGTGTCGTGTGACCTTAAGGTCGTGCAGAAAATAATTTTGAACCAATCGGCTTGCCATAAAAACACCACCGTTTGTCGGTGGTGAGCTGCAAATTTCGTTTTATACTCAATGATCCTCACAATGTCAAGGGTTTTTGATTTCTCGGAGTTCAAGAAATAACAAGCCCTTGACGTTGTGAGGATGTGATGAACATTGAGGAATCTTTTTTGTGCCAGCAGCTACTTCAACACGTGGCCTCGGTTTATACGGTATCATCCAAGAAAACACATAGTCTCCACATCCAACAATGGGATTCAACAACCTCTTGACCTAAGAATAAACTGTTTACATCACGACTCTATAGCAGGTGCTTTAACCACTGATTAATGTGGACGACTAATGCAAAATATAATTATCTACAAATTTGCGTTATTACGTATACACAATGTGTTGATTCCGACGCAAAAAGTAATAGCGCTAAATACTATGATACCAGTTTTTGAGTTGCTAAATAAATATATTTCGTGTTGTAATAATGCCCACATATTAAAGTAGCATTGGAAATTAAAAAGAGTTTGAAAGAATGTTACTTTTTAATTGTAGATCCTTGTACTAGTTCCCCGTGCCAAAATCGAGGAAAGTGCGAAATGAGATCATATAATGATTTCAAGTGCAAATGTAATAAATTTTACTCCGGAAATTTATGTGAAAAGTATAAGAGTCCTTTGAATTCATGGTCGGGAAATGGATTTTTTGTAAATATACCACCATCATATTTAAAAACTTCGTTTATAAAAGAAGCATGTGCAGATTGTGGAAATGGGATTCAATTACATTCATTGCGTCCTGGACCGAAAGTAAACCTCCGTCTACAACGGCCGAAAGTCATTCCTGGGCGTGGATCATTACCTTTGAAAAAAATTACGGGAAATTTATTGAATAGAATGTCAAATACCACAAGCAAGAGATTATATTTTCCTAAGACATGGATTTGGGAGGATGTTAACATGAGGTTAAGTTCTTCATTATGTTATAATATATAATTATATATTGATCTTTGATAATTGATATATTGATCAGTGATATCGATATGAATCATTCAGTGTAAAAGATGAATTATCTTACTTTAATTGACAATTTGCTTTACAGAGGTCGTTCTTCGGTAACACTTACTAAAAAGCTACCTGGCACCATGACGACATGGGTCACATCGGTTTTTGGTGTTAATGATGATGACGGTTTTGGAATTCTCAATGAAAATGACAGTTTGAAGGTTTAAATATAATAGCATAATTGTAGGGAAAAAGTTGTGTGAATGTGTTTATATAATAACAATTATTTACATTATACTTTCATGTAAATTATTTGATTCTGATTGGTCGAGAAACATTTGTTAAAAAACACTACAACCCGCTGAATAATGAAATTACATCCTCCAGTGTAGCAACAGTCAACAGTGCTTGACGACGGGTGATATTCCAAAAAATATCGACTGTGCAGAATTTATGCGTGCACGGTTCACTGTTATATGTATTTGTATAAAACAAACTGCGCCTCGGTTGACAGTGGTTTTCTTGGGATGAAAATTTTCAATGTTACACTCAACTACATGCAATTTTTATATAATATTGTAGAACATGGGTGAAATATAAAAAAGTCTTTTTTACCCCTTAAAAACAGATTCCAGTTTTCCTGCTATTCTTCATAGAATTAAAGACACCCTCTTATGTTGTTGCTGGTAACAGCGCTGTGGTCAAAATTACTTTGTTCAACAATTCTCCGGCTACAAAAATGGTAAAGGTTTTATATTTTTGTTTTTAATAAAACAAAGAGCATTGTCATGATTGTGGCAACGCACTTTGAATAAATTACGCACTTTGAAAAAGAATTTCAAAGTGCGTTAAAATTGGAACATACTCAACGCACTTTGAAAAAAGAATTCAAAGTGCGTTAACATTGGGACATACTCAACGCACATTTAAAAAAAATCAAAGTGCGTTAGAGTTTACATAAATATACTTTACCATTGAGACACTTAACGCACTTTGAGAAAAAATATGTAAAAACGAAAATTTTGGATTTGGATTTTAGTAATTATCTTTCAAAAACATTTTGAATTGAAGAGGAGAAGACAAGTAGAAAATCTCAGCTTAACTCTTTCTCTTTCAATACATAGGCGTCGGTAACAAATAAAACGGGTGGAGGGGAGTAACAAGCCCCCTTCCCTTGCACTTCGCCCGTTTTTGATGCCTACATGTATGCTACACCCAAAAATGGTTATGTATTTACATTACCGGTATGACGTTCAAAACTATCAACAATTGAATTAACTTAAAACAGATAAAAACAAGAAATTTTTTATTCGTTCACTTTTAGCCTCCCCCCCCCCCCCTATATCTACTTATTACAGACTAAAAATTTTAAACAAAAACAAAATAGTGGTATCAAACAATCATATCTCTATTTTGTATAAAAACAATTCCCTTTTATAATATTTATCAAAAGCTAAACTATTTAAAATGTCAATATCTCCCTATCACAAAAAAGTTATTCAAAGTCAATTATTTATCATCTTATTTGTTAGATTATTGATCAAGCTTTACATCTTTTTTTTGCAAAGATCGTTAATATGGTCGATATTAACGCAATTTGAAATGAAATTTACTTTTTTCAAAGTGCGTTAGCTTGGTCCAAAATTTCACGCACTTTGAATTTTTTTTCAAAGTGCGTAAATTTTCAAAGTGCGTTGTAACAAAGCATCGACATCGTATGATTTCATTTTCTGCGTTGATGTCAGAGAATATTCTTTCTATGAAAATATACAACCTTAACAGAGTGAATTAAAAGAAGTGTATTAATATTAAGTCTGGTTCTCTGTGTTAAAGGTTTATGTCCACATTCAGTTTCAAAGTGAAACAAGCGGTTTCTCACGTCAGGTATGTCTTTCAAAAAACATATAGCATAATATAAAACAAATTTTTTAGCCTTTGAAATACCAGTATAATGATAAAGATTGATATATTATATCCATTTTACAGATCAATTGAAATAGAAGATGGCAATATATTTTTTTGATAAAATAAATATGAATGTAGTGCTGGAGTATGTACTATCATGATATTTAATTTCTGTATTTTCGTCCTTTATTAATCACTTCTTTTTATAACTAGCTTGCTAGTGGAAATTCGACTGTGTATTTTCATGGAATACAACCAAAAGCGGGCAGATATGGAGCCTTCAATGTAACTGTGGTTGCGTATGATCTAATGAATTCCTTTCAAGTATTAGATTGGATCCAAAAACCAATTAATGTAAAGGTACGTGTATATATACATGTAGTTATTTATCTAGACATAATGATTTCTATACCAGCATTTTGCATAAGACACGTCCTTATTTCTAATAAAATGTACACAGCCAAACACTTACCTGAGTGACTTTAGCTTTGCTGTTTGTCACGATAACACTACCTTCTAATATTTTTTTTTACCCCTGAGGGCAATGAATTGAACAGCTTAGAATCTACACCTTTCAAGAATGAGTTTTTCTTGCCCAGTAACTCAGAAGAAGATTTTTCCCCTTATATTCAATATAAACCTTGTTTTCCTATTGTGATCCCACTCTACCTTCGGTAATATTGATTTGAATTTCCACAACCCCTGAAGACTTTTTTACATTAGGTTAAGTTTTATGGCACAGGGGTTCTGGCAAAGATTTTTCCAAATTTCTCCAATGAATTTCATAGCAAAACATTCCATCATTTACTATTGTGGTCGTAATAATATTTCAATGTAAACTTTGTTTTATTAGTGGCCCCAATCTACTCGGGGTCAACAATTTGAAATCGTCACCAGGATGCTTCAATTAACATATAAGTTTTAGCTTTTCTGATGCAGTGATACTGGATAAGATTTTTAAAGATTTTCTCCCATGATATTTTATATAAAAAAGATTTCATTCCCAATTGTGGCCTCATCCTTCTAAAATGTTTCATGATATAAAAAATTGAGAATTTATTAATAGTATTAAATGCAACCATAAAGTTTTTTCTAGGCAAGGGCTCTTCCAAATTTGATTTTTTATTTATTCATTCATAATATTTCATAAATTGCTATACGTTTGTCAATTCATTGAATTGTTGTTGTATTGTCTACTGTATTTGCCGTGTTGTGGTTTCCAAACAATGTACTTCTCCTTAATTATTTACAGCACTTCTTTTGAAAAAAAATTGAAACTCTAAGTGTCTTAAGAAATGACTTTTGAAAATATTCCAAACATAAGATTTCTTATTAAAGTTTACATGTTCATTTGTTTTCATTTGTTTTCATTTTCTCCATCTTAATGATTAAAAAGGACATATAAATTAAACAATATTAAAAATTATTTGCAAAAATTAAATTGCAAATTTATTCTGTAGAATTATACAGTTGTTTATAATCAGTTGGCATAAATTACATCGAAACGTTTGAATTTGCATTTATTTTTGCACTGTTATTGAATAACAAAAAAAAGTATTTGAAGCAAGAGAAATGTATTTGTTATTCTTTTAGTAAAACGTACATATAATAAAAATTGCATCGTTTAGCATTAATTCTCTCTCTCTCTCTCTCTCTCTCTCTCTCTCTTACCCGACTTTCCTTAATTAAGAGGAATGGGTCATACAACAGTTCTATGGGGAAAGTGCTTTATCGTACTGTTTTAAAACTTACAAGCATATACTATTTTTTAAGAGATCTATTTAAATAAAAACTCTACTTGCTTATTTCGAAACTCTGTCGTTTAAGTGTATTTTTTCAATTTTTAGTATATGGGGAAATGAATTTTTCTCACTGAATAAAGGGGAAAGTATTTCGGAATCCCTCTAAATTTTAACTACACCATATAATATATGCAATACTTATAAATGACCTTTATATATTTATGAATTAATAGCTAAGTTAACAATATAGTGTTGCCAGATTTGAAGATTTAGATTGCATATAGCTGAGACTAAATATGACACTGCCAAGATCTAGTATTATTTCAACGTTGAAAACTATTTTAGATTTTAAAATATTAAGTATTCCCAAATACTTTTACCATACTCTCTCAATTTCCCCATACTTACTTGGAACTCTCTTTCCCCCTCTCTGATCTCCCCCGTAACATCCCCCGACGTCCATACTGAATTAAAACATATCGTTTTCAAATCTATCACTATTCTTTCCTCAAATTGTTTTTACACACACATTCATCAATTTCCCAATCCTATCCTCAACCTTTTTTTTACAGAATATTCCCCATACTGTTGATTTATACTCTCTCTGAATAATCCCCATACTGTAGATTTATACTCTCACTGAATAATCCCCATACTGTAGATATATTTTCTCTCACTGAATATTCCCCATACTGTTGATTTATTCTCTCACTGAATATTCCCCATACTGTTGATTTATTCTCTCACTGAATATTCCCCACACTGTTGATATATTCTCTCACTGAATATTCCCCATACTATTCATTTATACTCTCTCACTGAATATTCCCCATACTGTTGATATATATTCTCTCAGTGAATATTCCCCATACTGTTGATTTATACTCTCTCACTGAATATTCCCCACACTGTTCATTTATACTCTCTCACTGAATATTCCCCATACTGTTGATTTATACTCTCTCACTGAATATTCCCCATACTGTAGATATACTCTCTCACTGATTATTCCCCATTCTGTTGATATATTCTCTCACTGAATATTCCCCATACTGTTGATATATTTTCTCTCACTGAATATTCCCCATATTGTTGATATATTCTCTCACTGAATATTCCCCATATTGTTGATATATTCTTTCACTAAATATTCCCCATACTGTTGATATATTCTCTCACTGAATATTCCCCATACTGTTGACATTTATTCTCACTGAATATTCCCCATACTGTTGACATTTTTTCTCACTGAATATTCCCCATACTGTTGATTTATTCTCTCACTGAATATTCCCCATACTGTTGATATATTCTCTCACTGAATATTCCCCATACTGTTGATATATTTTCTCTCACTGAAAATTCCCCATACTGTTGACATTTTTTCTCACTGAATATTCCCCATACTGTTGATTTATTCTCTCACTGAATATTCCCCATACTGTTGACATTTTTTCTCACTGAATATTCCCCATAGTGTTGGTATATTTTCTCTCACTGAATATTCCCCATACTGTTGAAATATTTTTTCTCACTGAATATTCCCCATACTGTTGAAATTTTTTTCTCACTGAATATTCCCCATACTGTTGACATTTTTTCTCACTGAATATTCCCCATACTGTTGACATTTTTTTCTCACTGAATATTCCAGATACTGTAGATATATTCTCTCTCTGAATATTCCCTATAGCGTTGGTATATTTTCTCTCACTGAATATTCCCCATACTGTTGATGTTTTTTCTCACTGAAAATTCCCCATACTGTTGGTATATTTTCTCTCACTGAATATTCCCCAAACTGTTCATATATTTTCTCTCACTGAATATTTCCTATACTGTTGATATATTTTCTCTCACTGAATATTCCCCATACTGTTGATATATTCTCTCTCTCTGAATATTCCCCATACTGTTAATATATTTTCTCTCTCTGAATATTCCCCATACTGTTGATAAATTTTCTCTCACTGAATATTCCCCATACTGTTGATATATTTTCTCTCTCTGAATATTCCCCATACTGTTGATATATTTTCGCTTTCTGAATATTCCCCATACTGTTGATATATTTTCTCTCACTCAATATTCTCAATACTGTTGATTTTTATTCTCTCACTGAATATTGAACATACTCATTGAATATTCCTAAGTGTTCTATAGTTATAAACTCTAACCAAATATCCATCCTTCTGTGTATACACTTAGTAATCCCAGTTACTGTGTTTGTCCAATCCCTTTACTTTCTCCAGGACTGCTGATGTGTGCCTCAAGTATTACCCATGTTTTCAATTCTCTGCAATATGCAATTCTCACATTTTCAAATGAATATCCATATATCTTCGAAGTTTTAAATACTCTTTGCAAATTACTAATGGGAATTTCACATTAAGGACAGATGATACAAACTTTTGTCAAAAATATTGAAAATAGCTATGTGTATCATGTTTTAATGTATAAGATGAATAGATTTCACCGCATATTTTTTAAATTTCTATTCAAAAATTACACAAAAATGGAATTTGAAGTGAAAAATATTTGTATAGAATAATAAGGATGGTTTCAGAAGGATAGAATTTGAACATCACAGAAGGTTTACAATTTCTTTATAATTTGCATAATTTATCATTTGCATCATTTGTAGTGAAATCAAGTCAAAAAATATATACCAATCCAGGCATCCATTTTTTGTTTGTATCATCTGTCCTTAAACAATTTCTGTCAACTTTGAAGTTTATGATAAATCTAAAACATCTCTTCCCATTTTCCTAATTGTTTGACTGTTGGCGTCTTTTGTACTTTTCAAGTCATGGAACTGGTACCTTGATTCAATTTTTTTATTCAAATTAATACTCATAAAACAAAGTCAATTGGTGTTTCATTAACACATTCAAATGAACAGAAAAAGTTGTATTTGAAATCACACAACAGAAAAAACATGCTTATAATGAAATTACACTTCCAGCACAGTCATTTTTATTATTACTATGTTTAAAACATAAGAGATCAATGATTCAAAAGCTTACATTGACAAAAAATATCAAAAGGCAGTTATTCTCAAAATATTTTTTTTCTTTTAGTTAATGTGCATCAATACTCAAATACTAGGTCAGATCCAGCAATCATAGCAAATCCTGTAGAATACATCCCATACCTGTAGATGCATCATTTATGCAGGCATCATTTATGCAAGTTTGTTCACTGAATAGAGTACATAGAGATTAGTAACCTGGAAATGGATCTTCTCCTAAAGGTCATGCACAACATACTGATAATCTATCTAAATATTCTTAATTTGTAATTATGGTGTCATCAAATGTTCATAAATAAAAACCAGCATGCATTACCAGGATTTGAAATTAAAACATATCTTTAGATAATTCAAAGAAAACGTTATGAAAATCACAACATATATAATTATTTCAAATGTTTTTTTTTTTTTTATCAAAACCTGTTTTAGAAGAAGTCTACAACAGCATATATAGACATTTAAATATAGCACACAGTTCTTTCAAGTATTGGAACTCTTAAACACCATGGAAAAAGACAAAAAAAAAACAAACTTCAAACTACATTGCATATGTCCGAAAATTTTACCAAGGCTATACTTAGTATTGA